CTTACCACATAACTAACAAATACACCTTTCTTATCCCTGTAATTATGACCAGGAGAGAAAAAATATAACGACTGTGAAACCAAATGATAAATTTTTTATTCTGTTACAGTTGAAACAAATTCGCGCACTGAGTCTTTTGTAAACTGCACACAGTCTCCATTTTTAAAAATGTAAATCAGGGTCACTTAGGATGAGATCGCGAAGGTAAAGAAAGAGAGAGAGCAAATCTTTGCCAAATTCTATATTTCATTTAGATTATGTGATTTCTTCGTTGCTATTAATTTATGTAATATCATTATCAAAACACCATGATGTATAGTAGAAGATATGGTTAAATTATTTGGAAACTTACTTTCTCCCGAGAATGCTTAGTCCCAAGTATTCAGTGAAGGATTTCACCAAATTCACTTCAAAGATGGTCGTTGGTTCTATTTTTGACAGAAGGAGATTTAACAATCCTCTGGTCAACTAAAGGGGTATACAGAAACTCATTGATAATCTATTATTCATCATTTTTTTTTAAAATCATTGAGTTTGTTTAAAAGGATTTGTTGAATATTACGACAACTTGTTACCTTCGATTGAAGTGAAAATCTTCTCGGGATCCTCTCGCAAGATGGTTAGACTTACTGGAGATGGAGCTAACCTCAGAGCAGAGACCACATTTTTATGGTTCATTTGCTGTAGGTTTTCACCATTTACCTAAAGACATAAGACAGTTGGTGCTAGTCCTTAGGATCTATCTAATCTAATCATAGCCTTGACTACGTAACGTAGCTCTTTGAGGGGATTCTTCACTAAGTTTTATTCTGTCTCGTTAACATACCATAATAATTTGGTCTCCGACTGCAATTCTTCCATCCTTGGCTGCCGCGCCTCCAGGTTCAATCACGTTTATGACCACACCACCCTAAAAATGACGAATCCACAACATTAGCGTTTTTAAGTATTTAATCGTACGTGAACATGACACACCATATATGATCCTGAATGGACCTGGAGCTCTCGCATCGTTCTTTCGCTGCTTATGCACTTTATACTTTTGCAGCAGTACGTGCTTATCAAAATTTGAGTCACTGAATGACCTGCTACCAAATTGAGTCCGCGTCTGGTTAATTTTGCAAGCAATAAGATCATTAATGAACAATTTGTGGGCTTGTCCCCAAATTCTAAAAATGAATTTTCAAAAACACAGATGGCACATGGGGCATGATTTCAAACGCGAGCTTGCTGAGTTTCTTCTTATCTAAAATGAAAACGAGTAATAATCATGAACTTCCTCTAATAACTCTCATACCAGATATGTGTCGGATCCACCAACAACTCCTAAACCGAGTCCCGTAGTTTCTTTTTCTATGGTTATGGTAGTCTCGACAAATTCCTTTATTTGTGCCGTGTAACCTAGTAGAGAGGAAAGCAGTTCCACTTCGATCCTTAATAGAAAATCATCCAAAATAACGTCATCTTTTTATTTCAATACAGGGACGGCAAAGCGTTTTGAAATCAGGGCACTCATCCTCAAACGACTTAAGCCTTAAACGACTTAAGCCTTTAACCCACTAATATTTCCCAAAGTGTGTTTTACATAGTTCGTAGGCTAAGGAAAGCCTCTCTGAAATCTGAAAAGTGTTAAGTCTGTCTATATAACAGACCAGGAATATCTTTTCGCCAAGTGCTATCCTGATGAAATATTCAAAGCATGAATGTTTTACCAAACTAAGTTTATACCGTGTCGACGCAACGAAACGTGGGAGGGTACTCTCCCCCAATTTCCGTTTTACGGGGAAGGGGCTGCAGACTTTGATATTGACCGTTTTCATAGACAGTTTAGACTGCAACAGATTGTACTCGATAGCTGTCCGAAAGTTCAATACATGCAAACTATTCAATTAGACCTACTGTGTCAACTTTAGAAGTTGGATATAAAATAGCTCTATAATTTTTCCAATGCTATTGCAAGTAACTTAGTTATCGTCAGTTATGATAACGATAGATGGTAGAAATTGCGAAGAAATGATGTTTTACCTTGAGACGAAGCCGTTTCAACTTTAGTTGTTTTTTCAGACACAGGAGGCATTGCAATTCGTTCACGGAATTTTAACATGCGGAGCGCACAATTCAACTCAGTTTTCTCCCAATCTCCGGAGAATGGCGTTGCTCCTTAGCTGAATATTCGTCGATCGAACCCGGCCTGTGTTGTTGTCTAAGTCCTACGATAATCAGCTTTGCTTGATTTGCTGAACTTTAAAGCGTGTCAAAGCTAATATATTTAAATCTTATCTACAAAGGCATGCATATTTTGAATTATCGTTTCATTTTGTTTGAACAACCTGAATAGATTTTCCTTTTAAATTAATTAATCATAGTCAGCTGTACGCAGATCTGCAGTTCTTTTGTTTACTTTGTCAACTTCTTTAAGCCTTTGGTACATACTGCATTACTCACAGACACACCACGAACCTTGGCTGTCTTAAATAATTTAAAGTTGATTAACTACTCTATAAAACGGGGTCAGCGATTGCAAAAAGAAGGGGGAGGGGAGAGAAGGGGAGATTCGTCCGTTCGTCCCGAGTTATGCAGAAAATTAATCATCTTACATTTACCGGTTTTAATACTTTTCCTATCTCGGTCTTTTTTTCATTGCTTCCTTTTGCTTTGTTTTGGTATTGATACTTAACTTTTGTCTGTTTATATTATTTTTTTCTTAAGGTTAGTGACTGGAAAAGGAACAGAGATCTTTGAATATTCGGCGTGAAACTAAAAGACCAGTATGTTTTGTCTTTGTCTGCACCAACTGGTTGCTTTAAGGCACTGTTCTCTAGTTTATTCTTGGGTTAAAAACAAACAATTCTTAAATGATATACCCTGATCGTTTGTCTCAAGGTCGTAAAATGAATTATTATTCTTCGCCATGATGAAGAAATTCAACTCTTTCCATAAGAAAATAATTCATTTGTGTCTCATTCATTTACGTGGTAGTTGATGTAAAAGCCAGATTAACCGATCATTGAACTGGTTACCAATTCAATCCACATCTTCAAATTTTATTCGGCTCAACTCAAAGCTGCAGTCTTAAATCTGACCATTTTTCTTTTCATAAAATTTAAAATATATACTAAAATAATTAAACATAATTAAAAGAAAACTTATTTTTACTCACTTCCGGAACAATTTGGGCAAAAGGAACATCAGTTTAGCATTTTTCCTGTTGATCTCAACTGTTTACATAATTTGAATTACGGCTCCGACAAATGCATATCCGCGAATTTTAAGTTTCGCAGTTTAAGGCAAAGCTTCAGTGTTTCTATTACATTTTTGTGCTCTTCCATAATGACGTTTAAAATAAAACTGTTTTGTCTATTTACATTTGTTAGCACTTAAAGAGGCAGTTTTGCTGCAGAGACATCTTTTCGACCAGTAGAAATGCAAACTGTTGTGTTGCACGTAAATTAAAGCCGAAAATCTGCAGTAAATGTTGACCATTAATTTTGGTGATCAAACCGTATCTTAATTGCCAGGAGTCCAGGTGACAATATACCCCGCTTTTTTAAAATTCATTTCCGAATCTACACTTCTGATATTTTGTTCCAATGCATCTCATGCGGTGCATATTTTTGCCAATAGTCCTTGTGACTATCTATAGTCGGAACTTATGTGGACATTTCACCGTTCAAAACAGTCTATTCACTGGGCATGTGGTTAAAACTCTTTATGGTATCAACTGGCTTCAGTGTATTGAAGAGTGTCAAAAACTTACAAATTGCATCTCATACAACTTTTTTCTGCCTGGAAAAATCTGTGAGCTTAACGATTGGGGTTTGGTAAATCGCTGTGATGATGAAAAGAGTCTTATCAAGGATTCTGGATGGATTTTTCACGAAATGGTTTCTTTTGAGGTAAAATAAATTAGCATTTCGAATACGAGAGTTATCTCTCACTTGGTTTGCTCCAGCCGATCACCAGCGATTGACGAATTCAAAAGTCCAATATTTCTTTTTCTTTGGGCGTAAAATGGATAATTTTATCGGTACTACTTACTTTATGTCTTTTTGTCCGCTTAATGCATACAAAAAATATCGCAGGCAAGGAAAGATGTTTTTAAGACAGCTGTCACAAATGCTTGAATTTACCATTAGAATATCTAATTGTTGCTCTCGATCGCCACACGAGGCTCCTTCTACATTGCTGTTGCTAACAGTATATGCAAGAAAATTTCTTACGTATGAAGCCCAGTCATGGTTTAGTTTACCATGGAGTCGTCTGCGCTCCAGTTGGTATCTGACCACACATTAAGATCAAACTGAATGTTCTCGAAGGACTCAGAGTTCATCTTTGTTCACGTTCGTGGAAAATGTTTGACACGTTTCTTTACAGTCTCTTTGCATTTACAATTTGTTAATTCTGCAGTTTTTTTATTCACATACTATCATTCAACTCCATGCAACCTTGAAAACTCACCAGTCAAAAAAATTACAATTAATATACTTCGCGAGCGCCGTGGTAAACGATGCAAAATTACCGTGGACCCACTGAAAATAATTTTTTTGATTGCGCAGTTTAAGTCAAACAAATGAACCCGAATCTACAACTGAAGCTTAAGACGCCAAATGTAATTCAACATTAAAACATAGAAGAATAACTTTTAGTTAAAGCTTTCTTTATTCAATTTTCGCTCTTATAAGCTTAATTATTAATAGACCTTTATGTAACTCTGCTCTTTTAGTCCCAAGCCGGCAATGTATCTTAGTGCAGTTTGCTCCCATATTTTGCGCGCGCTTGTAACCACGAAATAAGACAAAATGACGTTCAAAGTTAAGCATCAGCAAATGTTTTGTCATTTTGTTTTTTTTTATCAGATTTGAATATTGCGGTGAAGCTAGGTTGCAAGGAAAGAGTCAGCACCCAGTTTTTGGTGATTATTTCGAACGAAATTTAAAATAAAAGCAATAATCTTTCTCACCTCAATGCGAGATAAGCTTGATTTTTGTTCACCACTTTTCTTGAAAAAATAAAAATAAAAAAAAGTAAGTTTTGACCTCGGGGTAATACGACTCCTTTAAATCAGATTATAACCTGGTCGTTTCGATACGTTGTTACTCTTAAGCAAATTAAAACCAAAGCAAAAATTAAAAATTAAAACAATTTAGGTCTAATTGATGAGGTCTGAACCCATTTAAACCAGATGTCACTTGGGTGCTATTACTGAACTGAGCTGCGAATCCACAAATTCAGAGCAAGAAAAATCACAGCGGGTCTGGATTCGTTCCCTGTAAAGAAATACTGTCTATAATAATGTTGTTATGAACGATTTTTGACTTGGTCCAAATAAACTTTCACCCTTGACTTGCAGGCGAGGTTATCACACGTAAAACCAAGTAAAGGTGAGGAACCGTTAAGATTAAGCGAAAGAGCTCGTAACAAAAGCACCGGAATGATATTTTCATTTATTCGAAGACCGAGGAAAATCTTTCTTACAGTATTAACGCACGGAATTTCGTACAAGATATTTTTTAGCTTTGTGGATAAATTTCAGGACGCATCTAAATTATCTTCACCATCACAAACACTGTCAAGCATTTCCCATACCCTTTTTTAATAACACATCGGTAAAGGGGAAAAATTCTGCTCACAAAATTGCTACCGGAGTGGTCAAATTTAAGCTGAAACTCCTAAGAACTTCTTGTTCGGTCTTCCTTCTTGTTGCTTAAATATCCCCGTAAATTTGCCAAAAGAATTGATATGGTTACAAGTTTGTTCATTGGCTACCCCTGTGTGACCTTGAGAACATATTGCTGAAAAAAAGACAAACCAATTAGCTCACAAACCAGCCAAAAAGAAGAAAAATAACTAGTTGCAAAAAAGATATTATACATCATCCACAGAGGCCTCGATGAAGAGTTAAAGAGACAACGTTTGTATTAAAATTATTTCCACGCGCTCTCTCAGAAAATACAGTCGTTTCACACACTAGTTACACCTTTGCCACTACTTCCAGATCTCATTGCATTGTTTACCTGTCATGATACCATGGAAATGTTTACCGATGGTAAAAGTCTTGGGGAACACCATTGTGATTGGAAAAAGATTAAACAGTTCCTTATCCCAAGATTTACAAAAGTTGTGTCAGTTAAAGGAATGAGCGCGTCTTTGGATTCTGGAATACTTGGTTCATTCAGCAACGGCCTGGTAACCAATGAAAGCTGGAAATGTAGTCTTCATTGGTTCCCCGGATGGAGTTCCCCGGATTTTGATGACAGTCCGTGGTCAGCGGCTGTGGTGGTGGCAGAACACGGTAATATCACAGGTATCGACCCAGCAGCCAAGTGGATATGGACAAATCCAAGAGGATTTGATGAAGCTTATTGCAGGCTAAGCCTACGCTGAACGCAAAACGGTTTATCTTAGAGACAGGTCATTTTTTTTATCACCAAGGGGGGGTTAACCTAAGGCTCTGTCACATTCTGACAATCCCCTTCATTTACAATTAATTGGCAGTCGATTTTCAATATCACGGTCCCCCCTCTTAATACTCTGGAGGCCACGACTGATTCCCTGCCATTACCGTACGTTGAAAACCATGTAATCCCCCCCCCCCCTAAAAAAAATTTTCCACCCCGCAATCTCCCCCTCACGTGTATGAAAATAATTCTCAACGAAATCTGTCGTCAACTTGTAACCATATATTCCAGTTTGTCTTTTTTGAATGAGCCATATGCACGTTTACTTAAGAACACCTCATCTTTCTTTCAAGTCTTGATTTCGTGTACGTACGCGAGAAATTTAAGGGAAAGTTATTCCATAACCGGCTAAGATAAATAATATCTCTGTGGAAAAACGAGGTGGCACAGGAAAAAAAAACGACAAAAGAAAAATAGGGGTGAATTTTTAACAATTGACGTCATCGTAGACATGTCACATTTTACATAATCCGTACAAATAAAGTCAAACTGGCTGACAGAACAATAAAAAAGAGTGATCTTTACTTACCATGAAGTAAAAAGAGCGTGCCGAAAAAAATCATGCCGGAAAATTAAAGTCGTGTCGGAAAACTAAAGTCGTACCGCAAAATTAAAATCATCTTGCCAGAAAATTGAAGTCGTACCGGAAAATTAAAGTCGTGCCGAGAAAAAAAACTGAGAAGGTGAAAAAATTTGATGAGAAACGTGAGATAGTACTTACTGAGCTCCGTTTTCCCTCCCACGGTAACAGTTCAATTGAAGGATTTGTAAAATACCGCCCACTAACACATTAAGTAAAAATTTGATAAAATGTTGTAATTTTTAAAGGAGACTAAATCCTGCTGTGCAACAGCAACACCAAGGCAATTATCCGCATCTTTTTACCGTCATCCCGTCAATTAATTATTTAAGCACCTCTTTCGCTTTTAGCGCCAAAAGGAACATCTGTTATCAGCGTGAAACAAGCCTCATTGCAATTGGTTATTGGTGATGATAACCCATCCTTTATCATGATTTTCTTGCTGAAACGCATATCAGGCCGGAACATCAAACCAAACTCCTCAAAAACGTCTTTCCAAAGTCTGAGCGTCGTTTGTAGGAAGTCTTCATAGTTACTCTAACGATGGGAAAAATATGATCAGTTCATACATTGGGATTTATTACTTGATTCAAGAGCACTAAAGAATTTTCGTGTACGCGCAACAAAGAATATGGGGGTTTTAGAAATACTAACATATGTTGGTCTCTCTGTCTCGAGTTTCAGTTTTCTGTTAGTCTTAGTGACTTACTCACTTTTTAAACAGCTTCGAACTTTACCCGGAATCAACTTGATGAATTTCTCTATGGCACATTTGTTGGCAGACCTACTTTTCCTTCTAGCAGGAAGTGCAACGAAGCTCACATGTACAATAATCGCCATTTTAATGCACTATTTCTTTCTGGCGTCCTTCACCTGGATGTCATTCATCGCGTTTGAAACGTGGCGAACTTTTTCCACAATCTGCATACAGCGCAGAAATCTGACCAGAAGTGAAAAGTGTCTTAGTTTAATGCGAAGAATTGCAGTGGGATGGCTTCCTGCTTTTGCTGTTGTGGCAGTGTGTGTAGCAATTCACCTGTTCGACGCTGATACGTTTCTTTACGGCGCCCGCGCTACTTCGACCAAATTCTGCTGGATAAACAATTCAACTGCGCTATTGTTCGCGTTCGCTCTGCCAGTATTTATTGCCATACTGTTTAACATTGTACTCTTTTCCTTGACTGTGATAGCTATACGAAAAACAAACCGTCAACTGAGAGAAGCAACATACCATGCAAAAAACCGCATAACTGCGGCTGTGTTCGTTAAGATTTTCAGTTTGATGGGCTTCACATGGATTTTTGGCTTTTTGCAACCGTTACACAGAAGCTTTGCATACCCATTTGTCATATTTACCACTTTCATGGGACTGTATGTAGCGCTGGCGTTTGTGTTTACGCCAAAAATCATGAGTCTATATCGCGCCATGCTGTGCACTAACAAAACTGAGGTGGTTCCTTTTGGAGCTGAAGTAAATAACAGCGCCCCTAAACATGAAAGGCAAAAAAACTCATGAATGACTAGATTTATGATTTACAAAAACATAGCAAACAAAGCAGAAATTCCGTGCCTTACTATTTCCCTGCTTTACGCTGTAAAAAATTCACCTACGGTGATATAACGAAAAGGCAAAATTAGTCGTTCAAAAATGTAAAATGATGTTACTTAAAATGGAATAAAGCACACCGACCATTAGCAAAACGGACTCTTTCTCGTTTTTTGTTGTCACCATAAATTATTACCTTTTTTATCGGGTATGAATACGAAAAAGTAAAAGCTAAGTGGAAAGAGAAGCGGAAAAAAGGTAAGCGTGCTCCTTGCCGGTCCAGCTGTAGACGGAACACATTTGACGAAACGACGTAATTATCTGCTTAGGCCAGAAGGGGAAAATATTAAGATCCGACCAGCTCAACAATGATTCTCCTTTAGTGATTTTAAAGCCATTCGTAGGTTCGATAAGCTGATTTTCAACTCTCTCACTACCTATCCGAGAGATTTCTTCCTCCCTCCATTATGCAATGACTCTAGATGCGTCACTTCAATTTATTTCAAAGGAATATCGGAGGATTTTTCGAATACATACCATCGCAGTTTTCGTTTGCATTACTCTGCTATATGGAACGACTTTAAAATTTCAGCGCTACGTGATATGATCGTTATGGCTTTTTAGTTATTCGTGCTGCAAAGTGATATTCAAATATGCGAATAAATTAGATAAATAAAGAAGTCGTCATTTGGCCGGAATGAGCATGTGTTTTTTTATGATACTTCCTTAGTTTAAATTTTCGATTTAGAAAGATCGTCTTGCTCGTTAAAACGGAATGCTTGGGATACAATTTCTTTCATTTCTCCAAGTTTGTAGAGAACTAATTAGAGATCCCATGAAATATTTTCCTTTGCTGTTGTTGGCTGTCAAGACTTCTGTATGTTTTTTTTTTTTTTTTTTTTAATGACACTCGATCGAGTAATGCTCTAAGTTTTATTTGTTCATCGCAGCTGCTGACTTTTGACCCCGGCAATACATTCATAAATTAAAGCCGTGATCCCAACGATCGGATCCTTGTTAACTGTATGTGCACACCATCCGAAAAGATTCGTCCCAACGAGAGAACCCGGCATTTATAGAGTGATCCACATTAAGCACTTTAAGTTCAGTTGACAAGATGCAAAATTCCGTCTTCTCTCAGAACCAATCAGATCTTGTTATTTGCCGAAAATTTGGCGTCTGCTTGCATTTACATATTAGTTTTGTAATAAAGACTCGAGCAAACTACGTAATCCTCGTCAGTTTTACTCTTCATAAAGGGAAAAAAAATTGTCGTCGTTTTCACAATGATTTCGACGCCTTTGAATCTGAAAGAGTACAGGTAATCTTGTTGAGAACATTTGAAAATAAATTCATCGCGGTCCTACAGCTAGAACGAATTTCCAGTAAACAGATGGGAACATCTTGTAAAAGGAAGATTCATACGACTCGCTGGATAACAAACAGTATAGATGACAAAGGATGGAAATAAAGAGCACCCAGTCTGCTATTTCAATTCCTATTAGCTATGGGTGCCCGTCAGTCTTATCAAAACTGTTATTTATTTTGTGAAGCTAGAATTCTTATTCTACCAGTTTGCATTTAGGGGAGGGAACATGAAAGCATGGAAGAACGTATAAAAAATATTCAGCATCTTAGAGCCTTATTTCTGTTCCCTATTAAAAATCAAATGCCTAACTGAAATTTAAATATGGGGTATTCTGAATTTTTTTTGAAAAATTTGTTTTAGGCCTGCCCTGCAGTGAGTGTAGATTTTATTTCAAAGAAGTAATAGGGAAAAATATAAAATATAAACGATTATATACTATATATTTATTGATTTTCATTCACATCTTAAAAAAATATCAAGCAGCAGAGAGTAAACAATTCACGCAAATTCAAAGTATAAGAGCGTGACATGTTGTATCGTAAAAGAAAATTCTTATCGGTTATAATCTTCTTAAAATCCTCCCAGATTACTCAGATTTAATTGGAGTATATTTAGTAACGTACTTAAATGTAATGTTAAATAATAGATTGATTGCATGAGAGAACAGAGTCGGCTTTGTGAACCAAGGAGAGTATGGCAAAGGGTATACACGTGACGCCATAGTAAAGCGATGACCATCTATATAAGGGGGTTTTTTATTAAAATTGTGCAGTAGTTTTATACAAGGGTGTGTTCCCAGCTACTGATAATGATCCTTATTGCTTTACGCGAAAATTTTTTAATGGAATATTTTATGAAAGAACGAATATGTTAACCTCACGTACACAGAATTTTAATTGACACTTTTAGTGTGAATGTTTTGAATGGAATATTTCATAAACCAACCGGCTGATTCAAAATTTTACAAAATGAAAGGTTCAAGTGCTGAGAAAACGTTAGATTGGTCAGGTGGAATTGAAATCATCGTCAAACATCGTATAATAGGCTGTGACCCGCCATCGCAGTACCTAAACACTTTCAAAAGAGAAGTAATGATCATTTGTCTTACGATGTGGTCACTGCGGTTATGGATCGCGACGTTTCCAGTTGATTAGATACTAGTTGATCGAATCTTTTTCGAGTAAAGCTTCTTAGCTTCAAGGATTATACGCTGCCTCGTCCCAGGTGTCTCCCACTCACCTAGTCTGATCACTGTGGATCATCGAAGTATGTGTGAAGCTGGGGGACAGGTGCAAAGCGCACATCGAAGAAATCAAGATCGTATTAAAAGGATCTCCAAAGAAGACCATATCTGCACTTCCAGATGTTGGTTATCGAGTTCGTACTTTCCAGAATCGTAATACTTAACTGTTTGACTTACCGCGAAAAGAGTCTTGTACGAAATGTGTGTCACTGAGAGTTGTGATTTTGGCCTGGCGAAATCTTGTCGAAGTGCACGCGTAAGACTATAGGTATAGTCTCTCCGCTTTATGCTGTGTTGACGATTCCTTTCCCACCTTCCGTTCCCCAGAAAATTATCCGACCTTCACCCAGGCGATAAATAAGAAATAATTCCTTCCTGATGGATACAAGCCGTTTTACTGACTGATTCACGTACTCAAGTCCATATGTACCTTGATGGCATGTGATAAATCGTCAGCGAGACTTAGAAGCCTTGTTGATTGAATTTTGATGAGGGTTTTAGACTTGCAAACAAGATGGGATCATTAAGAACCAATCAGATTTATGTAAACAAAAAGAAAGGACTTCCCCTCGAACCTGAGTAACATAATCATAAATCGAAGATTTACACAAAGGAAATTCTTAAACTTCTCTGTTCGCTGCGGTATCCGTCTCTGATGGGGATCAAAAGAATTATCATACTTGTGTTCTTTCAGTTCATCATCCATCTCAGCGCTTTGGCTTCCGATGAAGGATGTAACACCAATTGTTCAGCATACTTTTTGACCAAAGAGAACAAGAGACTTACGGGCTTTGTCGTGCAACGCTTCGAGTCTCAAAGTTTGTTATCATGCAGTTTGACATGTTTGCAGCAATCATGGTGTACCTCTATAAACTTCAAGCTGATTTCACTGGATGGCAAGGGGATCTGTGAATTGAATAAATCGGATTTTGATAGTGACACATGGAGCAACCTAAATGCCGTCCCAGGAGTCATTTTCTCAAAGCTCTTAAAGGTAATCTAAAAATGTGAGAAAGTATAGCACTTCATTTATAAAGGGACAATTTTGTAAAGAAACTGTGGTGCTGCACCTCGGAGGGAGGTGTTACAAGATAATAAGGTTTTACTAACTGAGTTGAGGATGTAAACTGGCCAACGTAACTTTAGAGAGCTTTACGGTAACCAATTTACATCATTAACTCAGATGATAAAACCAAATTACTTCATCTGTTAGAACGTTTATCAGGTGATCTTCTTGTATGGCATAGCTCTTTAACCATTCCTCTGTTGCTCAGTTGGTAATGACTTTGAAAACGAAACCAGAAATGCTTGATTGGTTTCCGGATCTTCAACTGAACTTTCCCTTTTCATGTTTTGCGCGCTGGTAACAAATGTTCAACATCTTCGTTTCTTAAATTGCGCGCATATTTTTGCCACAGGCTTACGAAAAAATCAGGTAGTGTTTGGAAAAGAAGAAAAGCTGTCCAAATACTTGACGGCAAACCAGTGTTTTTACAGCTTTATTGAATTTACAAAACCTAACATATAAAAGTTACGCTCACAAAGTCCTTTTATACAAAAAACAATAAGTTAGCTGGCTGTTAATTTTGTTCTGTCAGAAAATCTTTTCTCAATCACTAATTCTCGAATACATTAACACTTGCTACGCAACGGCGGTATTAGCTTACAGTTTTTTTGGTTTTTTCGTGCATTCGTTGTCAAATCTTTGAATCTCTTTTTGATAAATCAACTCTAATACAGGACAATGAAGCACGGTCGGATTCATTCCGTGTGCACTGAAGACGTTTGCACTATTCCTACATGAGCAATAATGAAAATGGTCACCTTACATGTACTTTATTTGTACATAATAATTTGGTTTTGTCAGAAAGTGCATAACGCTTACGTTGGCTTAAAAGCCTCTCTTTGGTGGCCAGTTCACATCATTTAATCAGTTGCTAAACACAGATTATCTCGTTATACTCCTCCACAGACGCAGCACCAAAGTTTCTTAAGAGACTCGTCTCCTTTATTAGTTTGTACACGTGATGGTTTCAGACTGTGATTACCCC